TCCTGCCTCAAACTCAAAAACTCCTGAGCCAAACATTCCCGCTCGACCCGTAGAATGTATCGGGCGCGGAACATATCCCTGAACTGCTCCCAAGTAACAGCAAGTCTCTGCTCATCAATGTACGACCCTGTCTTCAGCCTCCACCAGTCCTTGGCCCCGAGCCTCAGCATGTTCAGGGCATGAACACGTGAAGAAACAGCCCTCCACGTCAGATAACCACCTCATGGCTCTAATCGGATCCTGGGTACCATCGAATGTCGGGGGTTTCGTGTTATCGAAGTCCCGGTACTAGAAGCCCCGATTGGCTCCACCTCCTCCTACCGCTGATACAGGCGATGCAGCTGCAGCGGCAGCCGTCTCTGTAAGGGATGCGTAACGCTCGTCAAAGTACTCAACCATAGCGGTCTTAATAGACCCAAACATCTCCGGCAGCTGTGCCCGGAACATAGCAGCAACCTCATCATGCAGGATCTCTCGAATCCTAGCATCTAACTCCTCTGTACCCATCTGCACCATAGGCTCAGGTGTTGTTGGCCCCTCCTGGCCTCCGTCTCCTGATCCTGATCCTGAACCGGATCCAGTCACAAAGCGTCTCGTCATCACCATTCTGAAACATACCACAAGATATCAGATAATCCACATAAATATATGGGAACCAACTCCTGACTAAGCCCTAAGGGTTGTGACTTCCTAGCTACGCGTATGGGTCCTGTGCTTTCAGTAGTACGGGCCCATACTACCTTCCACACCTACCCATATTTGTTTCAAGTATCACCACAACACCCTAACAATACACATGCACCTGGTGGTCGCTCAACCTCACCCCTAGAGGAAGGCTAACTGTCTCACAACTGACCTACCGGCCTCACACACCCACTCATCCATTAAACTTCCACCAACCCTGCAGCACTAGCGTATGCTAGGCATACATAACGTTGGACCCTATAGATTTTCGAATATCTGATCGTACCCTAAGTCCCTAATCGACAAGAACAGAGCATAAGGCCAAATCAACCATTCTCAGGCTATAAGATCTTAATTATGTACAACCGTGATACATACACAAGTAACTACAGTAATGGTGTCAATTTCACATAAAGAAAACCTTAGGCTATCAGGCATCGTATAATAAGACAATCCTATCATACAATTCCTGAAGATCCCTAGCCTAGTATTAGCATGATGTTCTAACATATCACATAATCAAATAGTTGCATGGTATTTTGGGGTCTACTTATTGGCTCCGGCTGATCGTACACTCTGCATCCTCCTTTACTTATTTTGAAAACCTTTTGAAAATCATTTTAAAAAATCCTTTCCTTGATTTGAGACTGGAGTCACCCGAGTGTTCCTCCAATTCACTCAAACCAAGGCTCAGATACCAACTTGTAACACCCATAAATCCAAGCCAATTTAAAACTTTTCAAAAGATTTAAAACCAACCGTTATTACAGATTTGTTTTCAAAATAGTCTATATCAGAGTTTTGCCAGAAACATAAACAAAACATGAGGAGCTGTACGATCATGCATTCGCCTTGCCGCGATCCCCTAATGTAACTAAAACCGTAAACTGAAACGATAAGCCCGAAAGCTTAGTGAGTTACCCCCAAAATACCAACCTCATATAACCATAATCATATTGTATCAACAAATACAGAACAACATGCATAATGAGCCTTCAGCCTGACTGGACCGCCTCGCAGGGCCTACAGCCTATCTGGACCGCTCTCGAGCCTTCGTCATGACTGGACCGCCTCGCAGGGCCTACAGCCTATCCGGCATGCCCGTCGGGTATGTTGGCCTATAGCACCAAGCAGGACCGCCTCAACCCAACCCCCAACCAAACAAACATGTGCACATAAATATCATACGCTAGCTCATATCATATAACAGTCAAACCGATCTAACAGATCACTAATCATAGCAACATCCCAATAACCGGGATACAGACCTAACCGGTCACTAACATAACATCATCCTATAACCAGGACACTGACCTAACCAGGTCACTAAGCATATGCATATCACCATCCTAACTACCAGGATGTAATCAATAACATATCATGCCATAATCCGGATACAAATCCATAAAGGTCCAGCCTTGGTGCCTTAGACCCTGTTGATATAGTGAGGATAACTCACCTCGCGACTGTCGACTCGAAGATTAGCTCAACCTCTCGGATCACCGACACAAACTCCACCGCCTATAGTTACCATCGAACCATGATCATAAATTCCCAAAATGCCCCAAAAGTCCAATAGTCAACCCTTGGTCAAAATCAAAGTCAACTGTCAAAGTCAACAGTCCATGTTGACCTGAACTCGTCGAGTATAACCAGCCACTCGTCGAGTTCCTTGCATAACTCGTCGACTCGCTGAGTCACTTGAGTGAGTCGTCGAGTTCCTAATGTTGGTGGCCGTGAACTCCTTAGCCAACTCGTCGAGTTACCCTTGCAACTCGCCAAGTTCACGTGTGTCCAAAGGTTGGGAAAACCCTAACTGACTCGCCGAGTCACTCTACTGACTCGCCGAGTCTACGATAATCTTCATCGGACTCGTCGAGTGGACCATGCAACTCGTCGAGTCCCTTCATTCCTTCATCCAAACAGATGCTTTTTATGCCATGCTAAGGTTCCATATTGCAGATCCAAATCCCCAAGGCATGTTTATCACGTAAAGTTGCAAACTTTACGTGCATGCAAGGCTCTAAAGTCTTAAAATGACAAAACCAAGCTTGTAAAGAAGTCTTACACTTGAGGGGAGGTTCATACTTGCCAACCTTGACAAATTTATGGACTTAGAGACCAAAGAGAGCTCAGATCTGAAGTTGCAACTTCAGATCTTAGCTCAAACACAAGAAAGGCTTCCTAAAAACCCACCCAAAAGAGATCTAGGAGAAATGAGTTAAGGTAACAGCTTAATACCTTCAAAAGAGTGCCAACTGAAGTAGATCTCTGATTCCCACGAGTTCCTTGCTTCTAATCACTTGTCTCCCAAGCTTTCCTCACCAAAATCCTTCTTCAAAGCTTAACACACCAAGGTAGCATACACACACGAATTAGGGTTTTGGAATGATAAGGGGCTGTGAAAGGGGAGGCTGGGGAAGCCAATGATCCTTTAAATATGGTGTAAAACCCCGGAAAGGAGGGTTTTATCCTCCAGCTCCTACTCGTCGAGTCCCTACTTGGACTCGGCGAGTAGGTCACTTAAACACGTGGACCAACCCGTTGCTACTCGACGAGTCGGACAACCAACTCGTCGAGTAGACCTTGTAATCAAGAAAAATCTTATATCAGAAATCAGTACCTGAGAATCGGGGCGTTACACTCACACACACTAAAAGTCTTCTCTCAAGCTCCAAGCTTCATCCAAGGTCATTTAGGGTTTCATGGTCGTGAAAAGGGGTGGAGGATGATCTGAAATGACCCAGGGAAGGATATAATGTGGCTTATATAGGGCACAAGTAGAGGAATTAGGGTTTTGGTCTGAAGGAAGTACGCCCTGCGTACCTCCTTGTACGCCCGGCGTACTCAAGAACCATCCACGACAATACTCTTTTATACGTTGGGTGTACCCCAGCTTACGCTGGGCGTACCCAGCCAGCCACGTGCATGCCTCCTTGCATGGATGGGACTGATCCGCCAAATCTTTCCATTAGGGGCTAATTCTGCCAAAACCTTCAAAGTGTCATAACTCACTCGTCCTAAGTCCGTTTCCAACGAACCTTATATCAACAAAAGGTGGCGAGAAAACCCTATGCTCCTAGCATCACACCCGAGCCTTAAAACCTTCCGAATAAAGCCTAAAATGCATAACATGCCGAGATATCAATTTACAGTCATACCCTTGGCTCCCGAAGACACAATCGAATATATGGGTCACTTGAATCATATCAACTACATCCGAAATGGGCTAAATCCTCCCTTTCCCAAAGCTCTAATCCCCATGACAACTAATGATTGAGCTGCAACCCCAATTAATAAGGCAAATCTGAAACCGGTGTTACATGACGCTTTTCAAAACGACTTGTATTCTCAGGGACTCAGTAAGCAGGTTTGCAGCTATGGATATTTAGATGATTGTTGTATTTTTGGAATGTCATACATTGTATTATTTTTGGGATGTAATTTCATGAACAAACACAAAGATGTAAACAATGCATGTTTGTATCTGAATGTATGATGTTTGGTTGCTTGTCTCATTTATAATAAACTATTATGATATTACAAGATGAAGTCACCCGCCCCCGGACGTTTCCGCTGTCCCGGTTCCGGGGTGTGACAGGTATTAACCTAGTAATAAGAGAAATTAAGTATCCTCTTACCTTTTGTTCCTACATATCATCCTACCCAATTAAATGGTGACATGTGAAACATTTAATGTTCATTTAATGAAATTTAATTATATTTCCATAATTAAAAAGATTCATGATGATTCTTGATGTTCGTGACTCTCGTGGATATTCATAGATATAGAAATTCATTATTATATTGACGGATATTTTTCGTTTAATAATGTGTCTAATTTTCAACTATCTATTTTAACTAAATTAATAAAAAGGAAAGTATTAGAAAAGAACAAACAAAACAGTGTTTATATTTTGAGAAATTAAATATCCTCCTACTTTTGTTTCTACAAATCTTCCTACTCAGTTAAATGATTACATGTGTCATTTTATTGTACTTAAATATCATTAAATGAGCATTAAATGTAACACATGTCATCATTTAATTGGGTAGGAAGATTTTTAGGAACAAAAAGTAGGAGGATATTTAATTTCTCATGGGAAATATAATTAAATCTTAAGTGTTACAATTGCAAACTCATTTTGTTTTTTATCATTAAAAACGAAGTATATTTATGTTTTATCGTTTAACATTATAAACTCATCTTATACAAGTTTTTTTTTTGGAAACAACCATTAATAAAAAGAACCAACACCAAGCAAGCAGCTAGGAGAAGGAGCGAACATTACAGTCAAGTACAAAACAAATACAAATTACAAAACAGGGCTAGAGCACCACTCTTCCCATGAACTATGAACACCTTTACTCCTATGTTTTGCCCACAGATACACCATGGATTTGATTCCGTCTACCACCCGTGAAGGAGAAGTGAAGTACCCTTTAAAAATTCGATCATTTCTGGCTCTCCAAATTGCCCATATCATACCGTAGCAGATCGATGTATAACAGCCTTTTTCCTTCGGACATCTTCCATGGGAAGCCATAGAATGGATAAGATCCATTATGCTATGTGTCTCATTATTATCCATACCACACCAATTAAGCACCATATTTCGAACTTCTCCTGCAAAGGGACAGCTAAACAAGATATGTACGACACTCTCCTCCATTCCAATGCAAGCTTCACATAAAGTAGTATCTATCGAGATGCCCCTGTTTCTTAACTCTACTGTGGCAGGTATCCTCCCTTGCACAGCCCTCCATACAAAGCATGTGACTTTTATGGGGATCATTTTACACCATCTAATGTGAGAATAAGTAGGTAATACCATGAGAGAGCGGTCAATGTATCGCCTTAGGAATTTCACCTCATAATCACCATCAGGATCAAGAGGACATATCCATTTGTCTAGACCAGAACGAGGATGGAATTGATCAAGAATTCCAGTTAACCTCTCCAACTCATCTGTCATGCCAACATTTACAGGAACAGATTTCCAATTCCAGCAATACCCGACTGTATTTCTCCTGTTAGCCACCAAACAGTTTTTCTGTGCTTCAAGTTGATATAGTTGTGGGAATTCTAACTTTAGTGTATAACTACCAATCGATTTGTCTTGCAAAAATTTTGCTTTATCTCCTGAGTTAATTATCAACCTGCAAATGTCATTAAAGCACAATCCACTTGAATTAATTTCTTTTTTTATGTTGGCTATATTATTCCATACTCCAGAAATGCTTTTCTTTGAGAGGTATTCCATGGGCTTATTAGTGAGGTTGTGAATTCCTGCAATTGTGCGACCCCAAAGTGATTTAGGCTCATTCTTCAACCTTCACCACCACTTAACGGTTAATCCAATGTTTAATGCCCTAATTGATCCCACACCAAGTCCACCTTTATCTTTTGCAGCTACAACCTTTTCCCATGCTACCCAGTGTATCTCCTGTTTATCTTCATGACTACCCCATAGAAACTTCCTACAATTTTTTTCAAGAGAATCCAATACACCCCTCGGGGATTTGAAAATGGATAAGAAATATGTAGGAAGATTCCTTAAGACTGACTTGATTAGGGTTAATCTCCCCCCGAACGAAAGTGATTTGGCTTTCCAAGAAGAGAGTTTGGTATGGAATTTATCGATAATTGGCTGCCAATTTTTCACTAGATTCATGTTGGCACCAATGAGTACTCCAAGGTATGTGAACGGGAGGGAACCAGCGACACATCCAAGAATGGATGCCCACTGAGCAGTCTCTGTACTGGAAGCACCAATTCCAAAAACTTTGGACTTATGAAAGTTCACTTTAAGACCAGATGACACATGAAAACAATTAAGGATCCGAGCCAGATTTTTTAAGTTCTATATGGACCATTCTCCTACGAACAGTGCATCGTCTGCATAAAATAGGTGCGAGATTACTGGCCCGTTACCTGTGATTTGTACACCCCTGAAAATGCTTTTTTCTCTAGCTGTTTTCATTACCGCGTTTAGCCCTTCCATCGCAATGATAAACAAGAAGGGAGAGAGAGGGTCCCTTTGTCTAACTCCTTTGGTGATGTTGAATTCGCCTGTGGGAGTGCCATTGACTAGAACTGAGGCTCTGGAAGAAGAAAGACATCCCGTATCCAAGCACGCCAGGTATTACCAAAGCCCATTTGTGTCATAATTGAGTCCAAATACCCCCAATGAATCGAATCAAATGCTTTATCAAAGTCTACTTTAAACAATAAGATCTTATTTTTTATCCTTTTTGCTCAAGCACATATCTCATTAATGATGAGTGGTCCTTCAAGGATGTTACGACCTTCCACATATGCCGATTGAACCTCGCCAATAATGCCCCCAATAACTGTTTTGAGTCTAGAAGCCAGAATTTTTGATATTATTCTAGACATGCAGCCAATCAAACTGATGGGTCGGTAGTCATGGAGTAGTGTCAGATCCTTCACTTTGGGAGCGAGAGTTATGAATGAAGAGCTACACCCATGGGCAAAAGAACCTGTGTTCTCAAAATGTCTCACGAAGTTCATGATATCAGAACTCATAATCTGCCAGTATTTTTTTATGAGTTTGAAAGTTAACCCATCAGGACCTGGTGCCTTTTCACCCCCGCATGCCCAAACCGCAGACTTTACTTCATCTTCTAATATCGGGGCCTCCAGTCTAATTGCTTCCATCATAGAGATCTTATTGATATTGGGATTAATCAATTTTGGTCTACATACCCATTGTTCTGTGAATTTGCTTTGAAAGAAACGATATGCCTCTTCTTTGATCTCCTTAGCATTTGTGGTCCATCTTCTATTAATCATAAGTCCAGTTATTCTATTTTTCCTACCATTACTGTTTACAAAACCATGAAAGAACTTTGTATTTTCGTCACCATCGATGGTCCACTTCAATCGTGCCTTTTGTTTTAAGTCGAGCACTGATAATTTCTCTAATTCCAGTATCTTCTGGATGCCATTACTGCGGATTAATAGTTCTGCATTCGAGAGTGTTTTGATTTCAACATCTTTTTCCAATTTTGCCACTGTTTCTTTTTGTTGAATCAACTCCTGTTTCTCTTTTATGTGTTCCTCTTTCCTCCATTTTTTTATCGCTTCTTTTAAAAATCTTAATTTAGAACTAAGATAAACATCAGCTGTACCAGATCCTGTGAAGTTTGCCCATGCCAAGTGAACAATTTGATCAATGCCTTCAGTCAAGAGCCAGAAATTAAAGAATTTAAAAGGAGGAGGCCCGAAATCAACAATGGCAGATGTAATAGTGATGGGGCAGTGATCTGAAAGATCTTGGGTATGAGCAGTAACCGATAGAGATGGAAAGGATGATAGGAATCCAGGACAAGCAAGGAATCTATCGAGTTTACTAAGTTTGGCATCAACTCGAGTCATGAATGTAAACCTTTCCCCACCCATGTTGAAATCTTTTAATCCAGCGTTATGGATAAAGAGGTTGAAGGCCCTTGCACTGTAGGGACAAAATTGAGAATTGAAACGTTCCTCCCTACATCTCACAACATTAAAATCTCCAAAAAAGAGCCAATTTCCCTGTTTTTCCGTTTTGATTTGAAGTAATTCAGTCCAAAGTGTTTTCTTCTCCACTGCAGTGTGTGGACCGTATATATTTGCAAAAACTGTGTATCCAGGGATTCCGATCCAAGAACCAATAACAATGATAAAGGATCGAGACTTGATTACCTCTTTCATTTGAAAAAAAGTTTTATCCCAGATCGAAATCAGACCACCTGATCTGCCACTTGATTCAACGCATTCAAATCCGAAGTTAGAAGAATCCCAACATCCGCTAATGTCAACCTTGGAGTAGTCTGATAGCTGGGTCTCTTGGATTCCCATAAAGTTTAATTTATGTTGTATTTTAAGCCTTCTTAACCATTGAATTTTGACGTCCTTCCCGATTCCTCTTGCATTTAAGGACATGCAATTCATTGGGCAACTTCTTGTACTCCATTCTCACCAACAATTTGAACAATGATACAATTATCCCTGTCCAATTGGAATCCGAGCTCAGTACCGATTCTAGTTGTTTGATCGATTTCATCAGAATTAAGATTACCAGAGTTAGAACTTCTATTAAGGTCAAGACAAGAATCACCCCCAATATCGGAAGCTAACTGATTGCACATAAGAGAAGAAGGTAAAGGTAGATCTGAGTGTGCGAGAAAGTCAAACGAGGGGGTATTAGATTCACGCCTGGATCTCTTCCTTTTTTTAATTGAAGGACCCCCGATGTTTGTTTTATTGCCTGAGCTTGTGCCAATTATTAGTGTTGAATCAAATAAATGGGCCTGAGAAGAAGAATGATTGAATTGATTGTTTGGAAAGGGTCCAAAGCACCCAGATGGTACCATATTGTGAAGCGGCCCAAATAGATCAACAAATGGGCTATTCTCCATGTTTGTATTTGGCCTTTCAGCCACGTCCTCATCATGTGTCGTATTCTCCTTTTGATCATACCTAGTCTCTTGTGCTGACACCGCCTTTTCCTCATGAATACCAACCGATCCTACTTTATTGGAACTGTCACTTTTTTTATTGTCATCGTTTATTGTTTCCTCGTCGTTAGGAATCCAAACATGAGCATCGACCAACGTCTCATTGGGAATCTGACCGAACCTCAAATCAGTCGATTCGTCTCCCCCTTCTTCTCCGGTGACTACAGCAGAAATTTTCAGCGCCGACGATTTGGTCGTACTTCTTCGATTCTAATTTCTTCTTCCTCCATATCTGAATTTTCTTCTTCCATCCATGTCTCTGAGACTCCTTCCTCGCTGGCATCCTCATCACTTTCGACTTCCTCCACCACTTCATCATCTGAATCCTCTTCTACTTTATCAAAAGGAGCAGGGTGAAACGGGGACCAATCGTCAGTATATTCAACAATTCCAACATTTATTAACTTCCCATCTACGGAGATCGATACCACTTCATTTATCCATTTCAATTGAGATGTAAGAACACCCACCTTCCCCACCGAATAGTCTCTTCTTGTTGATAATTTGTTGAACGGTGCGATGACTCTACCGAATCTTCCAGCTATTAGAGAGAAGTTCTTTTCGTCCCAAAGATGAAGTGGTAAACCGAGTATTTTGATCCAAGCAGTTCTTTCATACGGTAGTACTTGCTGGTTAGCACGAATTATCCATTTAAACCAATCCTTCCACCGTTCTTTATCTTCCAAGAATTCTCTTGTTTCAATTGAGTTACTGAATCCTAACGCCTCATTTAACCCACCCAGGTATTTCGTTCTTTCATTCATTAGCAACGAAGTAGGCATGCTACCAATGTGGTCAAAGCTGTGAGCCTCGCCAATTAATACACACTTCTTCAACCATTCATTCATCTGAGTCTCTGAGCTGATTACTACCGGATTGTGATTATGTTGGGATCTATCACGTACAGAGTTAGAGATTACTTGTGCAAACGTTCTATTATCTCGATTACCAGTTTTGGATATAGGAGGATGGAGAGGTACTTCATGTTGGCAACGAGGTAGGGAGTTTGTAACATAAATAGGCTTTCTTTTGTGTTTTGATAGATTTATACTTAGGGTCACATCCCTGCATTTTGTTCCTTGCAATTTCTCTTCCAGAATCTTCTCATCTTCTACGTCCATGTATCTCACGAATGCAAAGTGTTGTCTCCGATGATCTCTTTTTCCACCCAAGTAAACATCAATCACCCGACCAAACCTCCCAAATGGTTTCCATAGCTCTGCCTTCGTAATACACCCCGGGAATCCGGCGACATAGAAGTTTGTTATGGCTCCTACATTTCCATTGCTCGCTGGTGAAGTTTTCCTCCTCCGGACTTTAGTCCATTCACCTTCCTTTGGGAGCATTTTGAGCTAGTTTATCTTAGTATATAATCAAATTTTTAAAAAGTATATCATAGGAGGAGAACTTGTGGTTTATTCATGAAGTCGACCACTATAATTTTTCTAAAAAATATATCAAATGTGGTTACAAATAATAAATTTTTTAACACTAACTATTTATGATAAATATAATATAAAAAAAATACAAAATATCTAGATGTCATACAAATTTTAATAATAATGGAGAAAGTCCTATGAATAACAATTTAAAATGGTTTAAGCTGCAAATATAGTAACTTCAAAGTTGGATATAACCGTCAAATAAAAAAAAGAAAAACAAAATGGTCAAAAGAAAAATATCTGTGAACATATAAAATTTTAGTACATGCAAAAAAAAGAAACAAAATGCTAGAACAAAAGACATCTAAGAATATATAAAATTTTGGTCATATAACATTAAGTTAAATGGTAGACAAAATTGCAAAAATGGTCCCTGAGGTTTGTCAATTTTTGTGGTTAAGGTCCAAAAAAAAAGTTTATTAGCAAAAAAGGTCCCTAATTGATGGTTTTGTTGTGGTTTTGGTCCCTACCTCGTTAAGTTTAACAGCATGACTGTTAACTTTTGACAAATGATGGATTTACCCATGTGACTATTTCTACAGTTTTATCTTTTTACCAAACTACAAGGACCAATTATGCAATTTTTCTTTTTCATTTTATTGAATTATTAAATAATTGAATTACTTTTTTCCTTTTAACTTTTTTCTTATTGTATTATTTTTTATTGGATTATTATATATTAATAAATACTATTTTTAATATATTATATTTATATATTTATAAATATTACTTTTTTATTATTAATTTTTTTTAATTAAATTTTTTTGAATTTCTTCTTTATTGCATTAATTCTTTTTTGTTGGATTATTATATATTAATAAATATTATTTTTAACATATAATATTTATCTATTAGTAAGTGTTACTTTATTGGATTATTAAATTCATTTAACTAATTTTTTTATTTCATTCTTTTGATTGGATTATTATATATTAATAAATATTATTTTTAATATATTATATTTATATATTAATAAATATTACTTTTTTTATTATTAATTTTTTTAATTGAGTTTTTTAATTTCTTTTTATTGCATTAATTTTTTTATTTGATTATTATATATTAACAAATATTATTTTTAGCATATAATATTTATCTATTAGTAAGTGTTACTTTATTGGATTATTAATTATTTTTTTTTTAATTTTTTTATTGCATTAGTTCTTTTTATTGGATTATTAATTTAAATTTATTATTTTTATTTATAATAAATAATATTTATTTAATTCTTTTTATTTTATTTTAATTTCTTTCTTTATTGTTTTAAAAAAAAATAACAACGTATTATTATACTTATTTTATAATAAAACAACAATATAAAGTAATTTTGCTTTTAACATAAAACAACAATGTATTTTTATATTTAACTCTATAACAACACATTTTTTATTTGTAATACAAAACAAATGTATTTTTTTATTCGACCCAAACTACAACGTATTTTATTTTTATTAAATTACTAACTTTTATTTTCATCATGAAATGGTCGGCCAAAAGAAAACCAATCGCCGACAGAAACTAATCAACGCATGAAAACTATCCGCCGAAACTATATGACGTCACCGTATCGCGTGGGTACCCTACTAGTGTTTGTGTGTGTGTGTGTGTGTGTATATATATATATATATATATATATATATATATATATATATATATATGGAAAAGTTAGAGAACCATTATTAATCAAGGAACCAACGAATTAATCTAAAGCGTCAGAGTTTAAAGCGATCAACGACAAAAGGAACGGTTGTAGACTTTTACAATGGACACACATACATCATATTATAACAAAACTCACTTTCTTTTTTTCGTTTAATTTTTTTTAGGTCATGCTTTTTATCGAAAAAAAACTGAATATACCATTTTTCATTATTTTCCGTCCTCTTTCTATAGAAATCGATATTGATATACAAAAAATGATTTTTTTTAAAAAAAAAAAAACTCACTTCATTTCTTTGTTTTTTGAAAAATTAATGTCTATTTTTTATCAAAAAATTTTAATAAATATATCAAAATTCATAATTGTTGGTACTCTTTAAACATAGATTCAAATTGATGTAAAATTTAAAAAAAAAAAAAACTAATTTCAGTATAGATTCACAATGTGAATAATAGTAAGTCAGATTCACATTGTGAATGTTAAAATTGAAATATGTACAATTCAGATTCATACTGTGAATCATAATTGATCGAGGTTTTTTTTAATCGATTTGATGTTAATTAATAGAGAACAAAAAAATGATTTTTTTGGTATAATTAGTTTTTTTGGATAAAAATAAACTTAAAATTTGAAAAAAGCAACAAAACATAGTGAGTTTTTTTCGAAAAAAAAATGTTTTTTTATATATTAACATTGATCTCTATGGAAAGAGGACGAAAAATCATGAAAGGTATATTCATTTTTTTTCGATAAAAAACATGGCTTAAAAAAATTTTAAACGAAAAAAAGAGGTGTGTTTATGGTATAATCCGGTGTATGTGCGTCTAATGTACAAGTGTACATCCATTTCATTGGCCGTTGATCGTTTTAAATTTCGACGTTCACGATTGGTTCATTGGTTCCTTCTTAATAATGGTTTTTTATTGAACCCCATATATATATATATATATATATATATATATATATATATATATATATATATATATAAAAGCATTTGGCGTAGACAAGTTTTAAGTAGATATGAAAAAGTCTACCAAAAGTTTGTTATGCAGCATGCTTTATTTTGATATGGTTTTATTTAATTTAATAGGTTCAATCGGGTTTTAGGTTTAATTTAACATGTCCAACTGAGTTTTTGTGAAAAAAAAATAGTTTGTCTGTTTCATCCTAAATATAAGCATAAAATCGGTACAAGTTGAACAACTTTTTTCTTTGATTCGACCAGTTGATTTGAATCGAGTTTTAAAACATTTTTTAGAACCAATGTAACGTCCCAAAATTTTCGAGTAAAAATTTCATTTTAAGTAAGTCAAAAACTATTTATTCATTATCCCAAAAGACGATTATAATAAAAATATTCTCAAAACATCAGAGTAAAATCATAAACAGTCAGTGCAGAATAAATCTCCAGGGGATGCAGCGTGATTAAGCCGGACTCTTCCTTTTGAAACCAAAAGTACCTTAAAACATTTTAAACATAAACCGTAAGCACAAAGATTAGTAAGTTCCCCCAAATACCACATACCATACAAATAACGGGTCTTGCCCAATGAGTATAACGGGCCTCGCCCTAACTCGCATAACGGGCCCCGTCCAATGAGTATAACGGGCCTCACCCTAATTCGCATAACGGCCCCCGCCTAATGAGTATAACGAGACTCGCCCTAACTCGCATAACAAACTCAATCCAATGAGTATCACGTGCCTCTCCCTAACTCGCATAACGGGTCCCGCCTAAAATATAAGACATACAAGCATCACATAGATAACTAGCATCCTTCACACATAATCCAGTGGGCCAACATTGGTGCATTCGACCAATGAGTACAGTGAAAAGACTCACCCGCACTATTCAACACAAGCCCAACAGCTACCTCAGCAACGAAACATCCAACCCAAGCTTCCTAAAGTCAAACGGAAACCAATCCTTAGCCAAATGCTCAATTCTACTCAAGTTTGACCAAAACTCAGGTCAACAAGTCAACAGTCAAAGTCAAAGTCAAAATTGCCAATCAACAACCCTCCACGTGGTGGCCTTCTTTGACCACGTTGTGGGCACAAAATGCCAACACAATCGTTAATTCCCCAGTCGCCAAGCCATGGCAGCCTAAGGCCACGTCGTGGGGACTGGTCTGAACAGCTCAAACGAGCTTAATCCATTTTCTTCTGAATCCAAGAGATTTAAAGCTCTTATCTAATCCTTTCCAAGGTCTTAATGGATAAAGTTTCTAACTTTATCCATTAGGAAGGTCCAAACCGCCAAAATCTAGACTTTAAGTCTTAAAAGGACTAAGAATGCATCTTTCTCAGCTAAATCCATTAAGTCCAAATCTTCAACCTTCAGATCTTAATCAACATGATGTTTAGATGGATAAGGTTTCCAAGTTTATCCATCATAATATCTCAAGCTTTCAATATCTAAACTTTAATACACCAAAATGACCTAAATAACCAAGATAACTTGTATGGCTGAAAGGGAAGCCAAAAGATCAAAACTTTCTTAGTCCACGAGGTACAAGAAAACATTCTAAACTGATCAAAAGGTGGTGGAGTCCAGATCTGAAACATACAATGTTCTTGTGACCTAGGAGATTAATAAAGTTGCAAACTTTATTCCTAACTCTCACTCAAAACTCATTAAAATGGACCAAAACACCAAATACACTTAGATCCAAAGATGAAATGCAATAAAGCTTGGAACTTTACAACTTACAAATGTCTAGAAGGTAGATGAAAGTTGAGATCTTCAATTGCCAAGCTTCAAGGATCAACATTTCATGAAAACATTGCTCCAAAACCACCAAAAACTCCAAAAATGGATGAGAGAGGAGAAATGAGGCACAAATCTTGAAAATGGAGGCTAGGGTTTTGATGGGTTTTGAGCACTACAACATTCCTATGGTGTACATGCAACCCTAATGTTGTGGATCTAAGTTTTTCTCTATTGAACATGCAAATACAAACTCCAAAGCAATAACCCTAAGACTAGTATACAATTTCGAAAAATCATACATAAACTAGGGTTAGAACATTACCTCAACTTGTTATGAAGCAATAACAAGAACCACCTAGACCTTTGAAAGCTTAGTGCCCCAATTGTTGCACCTCTAATGGAGTCACAAACACTCAATGCAAAGGATGAAGGAGGAGAGGTAGGATTTTCAGCCAGGGTTCTCTTAGAAACTCATGGGAGCGAAATCCATAGGGTAAGGGGATTTATATAGTTGGGGCCATTAGGGTTTTC